GGCTGCTCCCTCCCCACCACTCCAGTGCTCAGAGCAATCACCTGCTTTGCAGCCAGAACAGGTCCCGAGTCCTTTATTAATCCCCTAAATGACTAAACCAAGAGATCACAAACCTTTGGCACCGGGAACGGTTGTGCTTGACCTCAGCAACAACAAGTGACATGGATTTTAAAAATACTTCTGGCAGGGGGCCCTCAAGAAGTCTGCTCTCACTGGCCTCATCCTTTCCGAGCTGTTGTTAGGAGTTAGTTGCACTTGTGTTTACACAAAACAGATGCAAAGCTGCAACCTGGATGAAGATAAGTCATGGGGGGAAATCCGCTGCAAAAACAGCAAAGGCAAGAGCAGGGACGAGAACTGCCAAGGATCCACGAGGAGACAGGAGAGCTCTGCCTGGGGAATACCAACCTCTTTGCTCTGTACAGTTTTCCAGAAGAAAAAAAAAATGAAAAGGTTTAGGGCAGCAAAAGAAAAGGGACGGAAAGGAGGGAGGTATGTAAAGGGGTATGTAAAGAAGCTGCTGTGACCGGTGCTAATTGCTGATGGATACAGGGAAATACAGGAAAAGGTGGGTGCTCTCAAGCTGGTGAACGCCAATTACCTCAAAATTTAATCATATCTATAAAAAGACACGCAGAAAGCTTCTGCTTGTTTTAACCCGTTAGGTACTCATGTTCCTTTTGCAAAAAATCAGTGCTGCTTTGCTCAGGGAAGCTGGGGCCTGAGGGTTATTGGAGTGAACTGATTGCAAGTACTAAATTTGTTTGGTTTAACACACCGAGTGAGAGAAGAGAGATGCTGAAGACCCTACAAAGGGGAAAACTGCACAGTTCATCCACAGAGGGAAGAGACAAAACCCAGCTCGTTCAGCTCCTGTGATATATTTTTCATTGAAGTTGACTTAAGATTTAGAACTAGAAAGTTGCACTTGGTCACACTCAAGCATCTTCTGACCACCAGCAAGACCAGTGCTGCAGACGAGCTGCTAGAGGAGCCGCGGGCGCCCTCCTGGGACAGGCCAGCCAGCCCTGACCGCCGCCCACGCGGGCCAGCAGCCGCTTCCAGGGGCCAGTGTGGGAATCGCGAGCCTAACGTGGAGGTGCCGCTCTGGACATGGCCACACAGAGCCTGGTTGGCCTCCGAGAACAGCCCCTGGCACTAGTTACTGCACTAGCACTGGTACAAGAATCTTGTTTCACATATCTCTCCTCACTCCATGCAAATCTTTTCTCAAATTACCGCCAAATTACACCTTTTTCCATTGCAGACATTTTGGAAGTAGCATCAAAACAGCTCCTCTACCTTCTGGCGTCTTGGATGCCTTTCACTTCTCCATCTATTGCTCTTGCTTCTTTCATCATTGAAGATATTCCAGGTAAAGAACTCTTGCAAATACAGAATCACAGAATGGTTGAGGTTGGAAGGGACCTCTAGAGATCATCTACTCCAACCCCCCTGCTCCAGCAGGGACACCTGCTTGACTGTAATATTTTATAATTTGTTGAGAAAGTCCTTTAAGAGACAGCCATTAAAGGACACTAAAAACCTAGTCTCTAAAAGGTCTCTAAAAACCTAGATATATTATTAAAGTGCTATTATTAAAGTGCTGGGAAGTACTTAAAAACACCTACCTACAAATGTTGAGATATATGGATTTAAAAAGACCGATAAATAGTAATATCACATTTACTTTAAGGAGAACAACAGGGGAGAAAAGATGAGTCAATATATAATATACCTGATGTTCTGCCTGTGTTGTGGGGTGAAATGCGTAACTGATCTCACACCATAAAGGAATTATAACTTTTTAGCAAAGGGATGTTCAAAGAGCTCACCAGAGGAGGAGGAGATGCCAATCGTTTAAAAAAGAAAAGTAACTGTACACCTACACAGAAAAGAAAAATGAATCAGAGCTAAAAATGTGCCACTAATGCAATAAGGAGCATACTACGTTCATCCTCTATGGCATAGCTGATGTCAAAGGACCAGGTTACTCAGTGTTAGGAGTAGTTATTCCTACAGGATCCCTTCATCCAAAGATGAAGGGATTTCTACGGATGTCCAGAAAAAGGACAGAGCAGCTGGCGACTGTACATCAGAATAGCAATACTCCAAACTATTGAGACAGAAGTGAGAGACAAGGAAGAGACGAGGAGAAAGCTCATCCCCAGAAATCATATTTCAGGTGAATTTCAGGTGAGCGAAATTTGAGCACCTTCCTATCCGGGCAGAATCAAAAAAAAAAAAAAAGCAAAACGCAGGCAAAAGAAACAAAGGAACCTAGAAGTGCCACACAAGTACATGCTGCAGTTTTGGAAATGTCCCTGAATTTGGGCAAGGGACAAACAAAAAACCCTTCCTGTTGCTAAGACATGGCTCAAGATCACTCTGCAAATACAGAAAGCTTTTGGGCATAGGAATCATGTATCAGAGAAACACGGTGGGTTTGAAGACCTTCGTTTATGCTCACAAGAGCCCAAGAGCACCAAATTGGCCTGGTAGTCACCCGGTAGACACAGAAAAGCAACTCAGACATAGCCTTGAATGTGGAGATGGGAATTAGAACAACTGGAATATCTCCTCCTGGCAGCAGGTACCAGGCCATCAGGAACTTGCACATGGATGACCAACAGTAATACAAAAAAGCCCCTAATTTAGCATTTTGCTGCTAAAGCCTGTGTATTTGAATGTATATCTGGTGTGACAGTGCTGGAGCAAAACCAAGACACAGCCTTTTGGCCCAGGAGAAGGAAGTTGCTACCACACGAGGCGCGCTGACAACACGTGGAGCCTGTGCTACCAGAGCCATTTTCATCCTCATCCAAAAGGAAGAAAATGCTGCAAGATTCTGCCTAACGCATGACTCAATTTAGGTCAGAACTCCTGCTCAGAACACCTTAGGCACTGATGGTGCTGGCAATGGACTGGCTTCCTTCATTGCTGACTTTACATCTTCTCAAATGTTTTCACAGAGGAAAAGGGTCATGGAAGCCTTTGTTGTTGTTGCTTTTTTGTTCTTCTCCAGCTGAATGACCTTTTCAAATGGTGACAACACTACTAACCCTTGGACCATCTCGTCCCATGCATTAGGAAGAAGTTTACTATGAAACATCTTTTTCGAGCCTGTGTCAACTCGTTTTATTCCCCATCCCAAACTCCCTTCAAGCATGTCTGAAGCACAGAACCTGTCAGTTGTGTAAACTCTCTCTTTAGAACATGTCAGCACCTAAGATTGTAGTGGACATAGAAGACACCTAAAATGGTCACCCCAGAGCTGCCCATCCACTGAGAACTGGGCTTCTATCTTCTGCTTCTCACCTGGACGCCTATTACTAGATAGCATAAAGCTGGGAAACAGTGTTTAAATCCTATCAGTCTCCACTGATTGGAATTGGAAATATCTTCCATGAAAGCAGTGAGAATTAGATGAGTATAGAGAAAATGTAAAATCAGATTCAGGATTCCCATTTCCACTGTCACATTTCTGCCTGTAAATGTAAGATTCACAAAAAATATTATAAATGCATAGTTTTTTTTTTTAATATAGGCAAGCATGGATTTAGAGGGGGGAAAAAAAAGCTGATTGCATGACATCGTACTGCAACTCTGTATCAGTAAAGTCGCTCTTCTTATTGAAACCAGGTTGCTCTGATTCAGTATGAATTCTGTTCTCAGAAGGAATAAAAGCAATAAACTAAGTGAGGATTACATACAGGATCTGTTCACCTTCAATGCTCTAAAAGACCAAAATAATCAGACTTTCAAGTGCTATGTCAAACTGTGCAGAGCAGAAAAGCAAACTTCTTGCTTTTTTTGGCATGGCAAATTCTTTACAGCTTATACTTGTTTTAAGTGGGAAAATAAAACACTGCGTTTTCTAACTCAATAGATCATTTTCCTATCCAAAAAAGGACAGCTTCTCTTGTAAGCTTACCAACTAAGGACCACTTTGCGGGAAGTACTGTTTTATCTAACTTCTCATTGTAAATAGTTATTTAACTTTTTAAAATCTATCTTCAACAAGGGAATAATTTTGATGTTGAGTAATTAAATGCACGCTTTGTCAAAAGAATAATATTTAAAGTTTTCTGGTAACATGGAAAAGATGAAAAGCCTTAAGTAACTGAAAGGCAACAATTATATGCCATTATAACAGCATACACAACGTCCAAATGGTGCTTCCAGTATTAAACATTATAGGTTGACCCAGCTTTAGTGTGGAAGACTCGGGCTTAGAAACAACTTTGGATGAATGACCCCTCTGTAATTGGTAAATATGAAGAGAGGGCTCTGTCTTTTTACTATCACTAACTGGCTATTGCTATGAAGGGTAAGGTTAAAAGCATTGAAAGGGCCCAAAGCAAAAAAAGAAAAAAAAAATTCAGAGGATGCTGATGACTGAACCAATTCAGCTGAGTCATTCAATGCTTGCTGAAGATCAGGAACAGTAAAGCCTTTTTCACTTGGTCATTTAAGCCTAGGACACCCTAAAAAATGTTATCACTACTCATAATCCCAGCCATCAAGAAACTAAGTCTGTTTCCAGGCTTCTGTATTTAGAAGAGGCTTGGGAAAATGACAAATTCCAGCAGGAAGTGAATAAAATATCATCTGAGAACTATTGGACAGGTAAGCAAAGCCAGAGACCAACTTCAGCAAGGTTTGATTTAATTATCTTGGTTCTCAAGCTATTATTGCTTATGCCTTAGAGGCATCTGGCATGTCATCTCTTCAGATACAGGAAGAAGAAAAGGAAAGGCCACACGTGGATGTCCTAATTGAAATGTTGTTCATCTGGTCTTTAGGCTGCTTTCACTTCACCTCTTTCTAGATGCAAGTTTCAGACACTGCACGCACCCTGACGTGCGCTAGAGAAACAAATCCAATGAAATCTGTCAGATTTATATTTTGTGGTCGGATGCTTCAGTGTCTAGCAAAGTGCATACCGCAGCTGAGACTACAGGCTAAAAACTATATAACAAAGGCACTGCCAATCATACCTCATTATACCAAGAGGGTCTAAAGCTTCTTCCTCTTCTTCCTGCTCTTCCTCTTCTGTTTTGTGCCCCTTTTCCACATTTTTCACTGGTGCAAGCTGTGAGATTACATCAGGTTTCTTCTCCTCTTTGAAGAAATCTAGTACTTCATTTTCTTCATCTTCTTTGTCCTTGTCATCAGGAATGTTTTTACTCTTGAAGTCAATGACAGCAGTAGATTTTGTTCCTGCAAAATACAATGATAGAAGAGCACACAGGATAACAGCATGTTTTACTTAATATATTGCACCTGTTCCTTATTATTTTGGCTGGGGGAATAAACTATATGAAACTCATTCAATGTTTCTTACTGTCTCTTGCATCTACTGATGCATTATTTTATGTCCAATTTGTTCGCTAATTTTAAGTAGAGAAAGACAGAGGAAATGAACTTTATTTAAAACAGAGCAGCATATGTCTGAACTGCTTATTTGCATTCCTTCTATAGTCAATGGAAACAACATAGTTTCCAGATGGTTACTCATCTGAAGATGAGAATGAGTTTCCCTCTGAAAGTGCCTCTTTCTCTCCACTGGCTACAGAGAGGGCCCAAATGCTATGCTTAGATGCAGGTAAATAACTTTTATATAGGTAGCTGAGCTAAAGCCCACTTTTCATTAATTCTTTTGGGCTACTTTGAAAGGCAGGAAAAGTAGTTTCCATGGAAGATTTTCAATACGTGCTTTCAAACAAACCCTCAAGTTTTAACTCTCTTCAGTATACAAGATCCATCAGTTTTGGAGCAAGCTGAAAAGATTTACTTTAACTGAGTCTTCTTGCCCTACTTGCTATATGCAAAACCCAGAAGAATAAGGAACACTGAACCATTCCTTGATGTGGTGTCTCTGGATGTTTAGGAAACTAATTTAAAATGGTAAGACCAGCTAAAAATAGGATAGTGAAAACCATGACAGGAAAATTCATGGTTTCATCTTAAGGTATCACTGTTTGGGAGATGGATCTCACACCGCTTTTCATGTCTGCCTCAGCCTAGTCATCTAGGGGGAAATTCACTGCCTAAACAAGGGCAGCAACACTGGGCAGTTGAGCCTGTGCTCCCCTGTAGGTATGGAGTGCTGAGCAGGTTACACACTGGAGATTAGGATATTTCATACTTTACCCTTATGTAGACACCTATATTTTACAACATGGATTCTCCTTAAACATCCTTGAATATATTGACTATATCTCCAGCGTCTGTAAAGAAAGTCTACACAACTAGCTTGAAGATCTACAGGGTATTTATCTTCATATGTAAGTAAGTGAGATGAATCTCATCTCATTTATAGAGTGAGGTTCATATTACTCTGAGACATTTTCATGAATAGGTTACATTATTTGTACAAGTTTGTCCACTGACTATGCACAGTCCAGACTAATTCAGCTGTAGAAATCTACACCATATCCAGAAAGGGTTAAGTAAGGTAAATCCTGATTTTTCTAAGGGGTTTATTTTCAAGAGAACATCGGCAGGAGAAAAAAAAAGAAAAAAACTCCCTAATTTTATTTGGCAAAATCTTTTTGCTTGTGTAATGCAATTCTGCTCACCTTTGGACTATAGAAAGCTCCTCTGAATTGTGAGCTTCGTGTCTGAGAGCTCTGGTCACAAGAATGTGCCCTTGCCAGTCTCATAAAACTTCTAGCTTGGCCTCACTTGACACTTTTGCAATTTGTTGTTAACACACGGTGACTTGCTAGCACCTTGCAGCTCCACGTCCTTAAAATCAGCACTGCACTTAGAATCCTACATGGGGCCAGACTGGAGCACTCCCTGCTTGGCAGTTCTCAGCTGGATTGAGAGCAGAGAGCCCATCTGCTCCGTTCATTCAGTGACTCCCTGTTATGCTCAAGGAACACACAGAAACTGTTGCAATCATGAGGTCAAAAAATTAAAAAAATGTTAAGAGGTGAGAGAATAGGTTTAATTAGTCCATTATTCAAATATTTTTCTAGGTCAAAAATCTTAACAGTCTTACTAGGAACTGAAAAAAAAAAAAAGAAAGCACAGAGCAGTTGTTCACCAAGAGAGCGCCTGTGTTGTTCTTTTAGGGTTTATCTCTCCACTGATGATAGATGATTATTTAGACTTCTGCACTTGGGTGTTCTGAATCACAGCTTAGCTAAACACCTATGTTTCTGAACAAAGCATGTGCCAT